CAAGAAAACACAACGAAAAAAAAGTAAAATCAGTAATACAAACATATTAAAAAATGTATAATTTAAATGAAGACTGCATGTTGTTCAGAGTTGGAGAGTGCTGTTTGATGTGGAGGGTTTCTTTGATCAGTAATTCCAGGTCAGTATTAGACTTTCAGAGGATAGAGAAATTTGATGGTATAGGTTGATGTCCTGTTTCTTCACTATGTTGGCGTATAGAGGAAACACAGGGGTTATTCAATTTTTTTGTGTTTTAATGGAAATTCCCATATGTTCATAGGCTCTGACTTTTAAATGGTGTTTGGTTTTGCCAATATAGGAGGCCTTACAGTCTCCACACGTGTGAAGATAGACAAGCCAAGAACAATAAGGAATGGGGAGGAGATCTTTAGTAGGGAAGAAATTTTTTATGCATGATGTGGATTTAAAAACTAATCTTAAATCCACTTGAGGATAGTAACGACCAAGTATGCGTTTAAGTTGATTTTTTAAATTTAAGCTTTGTTTGCCAGTATAAGGAAGACACGAGTATATAGTAAATTTAGGTACAGTTGGTATCTTAATTGAATTTGTGAGTTTCTTTGTTAGGAAGGTGTTGGTAATGTTTTCTAATAAGTGTTGTGTATAGCAGTTATGTTTCAGGATGTCATGTAAGAACGAAATTTCAGAGTGTAGATTAAGATATGTGGAGCACAAGTTGTAAGCTCTGTTTAGTAAGCATGTAATAAGGTTTTGTTTATATGTAAATGGGATAAAGCTATCAAAGTGTGTGAGGAGACCAGTGGACGTCTTTTTTTTGGTAAATTGATGTGGAAAATCCATTAGCATTACGGTTAATGAGCATGTCTAAAAAAGGTAAATTATTATTATTTTCAACGTCACATGTAAATTTTATTGCAGGATGTTGTGAGTTAAGGTATTCTAAAAATTTTTAGCATTGATCATTGTTATTAAAAAGAATAAAAGTGTCATCCACATACCCTCTGTACAGAATAGGCCTAAAGTTAACTGGACAGGTGTCAAGCCATTTCTGTTCGTAATGTCAATGTCCTCTTAGGCTGGTTCAATTACTTTAGAAAACCCTTTGACGAGACAACTTATTCTTCTTATCTCTTTCAAAATTGTTGATTTCACTCTAATATATCAAACTGTTAGGCCTTTCACTCCCACAATGATTATCTTTGCATTTAACTTTTCTCTGACTGAACTTCTCTTTCTCGTGACTTTACCTTAATCTTCTGCTCTTTTTTTCATCTGCTTGTCTATCACTTAGGCCTTCTTGAAATCTTTATATCCTCAACATCAATGGATTACACGCGATGTTTGATAGCCTTGATATAAATGAATTATAAAAACAGTGTACAACTCTTACCGAGTTATGTAACCAAACTTGTTATAACTATTGCCTTTAAAATAATTTCTTTTAATTCTCTTGATGTGAAAAAAAAATCGGGAAATATTCACTCACAAAGTAAATTAATAATAAGTACACTAAACAATCTTTTATATCTGACACCAATGCTGTCTGGTTTTCTATTTAACCCTTTTGCAACGGGTACACTTTTAAACACTTTTCTGTGTAAGTCAAGATTTAATTAAACACCTTTCTATCAATATATGTGAATGAAATTAACATTATGATATATAATAGGATTTGAGGTTTTATGTTATCTAAGTTTTAAGTCCTTTATTTCAAAATAAACCTTTAAAAACTACTTAAAACTTCAGATTTATTGTCACGTGACCAATGAGCTATGAAAATTCTCTACTTTGGCACTTTATCTTCAGGAATACAATAGCAGCACTGTAGATGTATGTTTAGACTATAAGATGCTTAAATAACCTTTTGACTTGTATATTTCAAAGTTCTTTGAATAAATACAGTTGAAGCAAGTAATACAGTTTTCAATCCCAGATAGGTGTCATGCCCACATTCAATAGATTTGTTCTAGCTTTACAGCCAACATGTAGATGTTACATACACATAATCATTAGAAATAGCTCATTTTACACTATAATCTAACAATGGTTATTTTGAAAGTAGTGTACAGTTGTCATTATGGAGTAAATGTAACTGAGTGTTGTATTGTTAGCTGCTTGATGAACTTATAGCACATATGGTTGTTCCTTACATAAATATTTTATACTTAAAAATAGTTTAAATTGTATTTAGGTCTTGCTTTTACGTTTTAGTTAATTATGTATTAGTTATGTTTTAAAAGATTTAAGAATTCTTTTAAATATACATCTTACTTTGCATCAATTCTGATGGCTTATGATATTATGCAATGCATGAACATTTTGCCGAAAGGTTGCACATATCTGCCAGAGACATTATAATATGCCTTGAGGGTACCATTGACTTGTATCAAGATGAATAATAAGTGGCAAAGGAAAATGAAACATTAAAAGTGAAGTATATGTGGAAGAAAAAAGACATGAAATTGTGAATTTAAGGAAAGGAAGACCTTTAAAGATATTCTACAAAAAGTTTTTTTTTTCTATTTCCTAATTCTAATTATTTCATTGCATTCTACATTGATGGTAATAGCTAATTAGTGATGTGGTAGAAAAAATGAAAAATAAAATATAAACATTTAACTTAAAAAAGCTTTTGATATTCTTATAGAAGGTTCTAGAGATTATGCAAATGAAATATGAAACTATAAGACAAGGAAAAGTATTTTTATACTTAAAATGAAAATCATCTTGCACTCAATTTGTGAAGAGTTTTAGTGCAAGTAACTTCAATAGATAAATAGATATTTTTAGTAAAAACACTTAATTTTAATAATGTCATTTTTTTGTGTACAAGATACTTATAATCTTTAACAAAATCTAACCAGTTTTTGAGAGGATATGTTAGGAAATTTTCAACTCAATTTCCACAAATTACATGAACCCAAAGCAAAAGGGTTAAGTGAACAGTCATGTTGCATTCCTCCTCACTACTATTTTCTGGATGATAGTTTCCCAGGTGACCTGGTGTTGATTGTATACTGGGGCTGCACACACGTCCTAACTGGAATGGCAGAATAGAAGCCATTTTTCCTTCTGCTTCCTTGTCTTATAACAAAAATGATAGGGATCTTCCTCCTACCTGGGACTGGATGATAAATACCCAATGCCACCAGCAATTATCATCCGACGTGCCCTAGCCACTCTACACTACTTGCCATGTCCAATCAAGTATTGGATGTGCTTCTTTTTCACCCAAATTATCGACATGTATTTTCACAAATATGTGAAAAGTGTACCTAGTTCAGATGTGGTGCAGTCTCCCATAGGTGTGTTCCTTTACTAAGAGATGGCACAACTCCTTGGATGTTCTACAGATGCTTTTCAAAGGGTGCCCATCTAGGTAAGTTTTGTGCTGGTTCCTCCACATCAATGGAAGATTCTAACTATTATGTGAATGGAGGTAAGATACCGTATCAGAAGTTTTAATTTTCCTAAAGTGAAAATGTATTTCCAATAGATACTTACCTCATTTCACACTTCCCACCCTTCCTCCCCACTTCCAGTGCTTGTGTTTTGTCTTATTTCAAAGTGAAGATTAGGTTCTGCAGCATAGAAGAAACCAGCTACACCAGAAAGATGTGTTGCACTTTTATTGGTATTTGCTTATTTGCATGCTACATTGCAGATGTGTCACGTTAAACACATCTGGTACATCAAGGCTAGTGGCGAGCAAAAAATGTGCATATAGAATGCAGCACTGAACAAGAAAAGCAATTACAAGAGAGGAGGTAAGTATCTATTGGGAATACATTTTCAGTTTAGGAAAATTATAACTTTACTACTTTAGTGGTAAGTTGCTAGAGGAGGTAAGTATCTATCAGAAATATTTTCAGTTTAGGAAAATTATTACTTTACTACTTTAGTAGTAAGTTGCTAGAGGAGGTAAGTATCTATCAGAAATATTTTCAG